TATGTTGAACCATCCCTGCATCCCTGGGATGAACCCCACTTGGTCATGATGGATTATTTTTTTGATAAGCGTCTGGATTCAGTTAGCTAGGACTTTGTTGAAAATTTTTGCATCTATATTCATTAGGGATATTGGTCTGTAGCTTTCTTTTTTTGTTGCATCCTTTCCTGGTTTTGGTATCACAGTAATGTTCGCTTCATAAAAGGTGTCAGGGAGGTTTCCATTCTTCTTGATGTTGTGGAATAATTTCTGCAAGATAGGCATCAGTTCTTCTTTGTAAGTGTGGTAAAATTCGGGTGTGAAATCATTTGGGCCAGGACTTTTCTTTTTAGTGAGATTTTTAATTGTTGTTTCTATTTAGGCTTTTGATATTGGTCTGTTCAGGAATTCTATTTCTTCCTGGTTGAGGCTAGAGAGGCTGTGTGTTTATAGAAATTTGTTCATTTCCTCCACATTTTCCAGTTTGTGCGCATAAAGTTTTTTGTAGTATTCGTAAATTATATCTTGTATCTCCTTGGGATCAGTTGTGATATCTCCTTTTTTGTTCCTGATGGAGCTTATTAGAGATTTCTCTTTTCTGCTTTTTGTTAGCCTAGCCAAAGGCGTGTCACTTTTGTTTAGTTTTTCAAAGAACCAACTTTTTGTTTTATTAATCTTTTGTATAGCTTCCCTGTTGTCAACTTCATTTAGTTCTGATTTGATCGTGTTAATTTCACTTCTTCTGCTGGGTTTGGGGTTGGTCTGTTCTTCTTTTTCCAGCTCTTTGAGTCATTTTGTTAAATTGTCTATTTGTGACCTTTTTGACTTTTGGTTATAGGCATTTATGGAGATAAACTTTTCTCTCAGTACTGCTTTAGCTGTGTCCCAGAGGATTTGATAACTCGTCTCTCCATTGTCATTTTTTTCAAAGAACTTTTTATTTCCATCTTGATTTCTTCATTTATGAAGTAATCATTTAGTAGGAGGTTGTTTAATTTCCACATTTTTGTGTAGAAATTTGAGTTTCTGTTAGGGTTGATTTCTACTTTTATTCCACTGTGATCTGAGAAGATACATGGTATGATTTCTATTTTTTTAAATTTCTTTAGGGTTACTTTGTGTCCTAGGATATGATCAATCTTAGAGAATGTCCCATGAGCTGATGAGAAGGACATATAGTCAGTGGATTTTGGGTAGAATGACCTGTAAATGTCTGTCAGACCCAATTGTTCTAGAGTTTTGTTTAAGTCCATTATTTATTAATTTTCTGTTTGGAGGATCTGTCCTGTGCAGTCAATGGGGTGTTGAAATCTCCAGTAATTATGGAGTTGCTGTTAATCAATTTGCTTATTTCCAGTAAGGTTTGCTTTATGAATCTGGATGTATCTTAGGTGGGTGCATATATATTTAAAATTATTCTCTCTCTTGTTGAACTGTGCCCTTCACCATTATATAATAATCGTCTTTGTGTTTCACTACTTTCGTTGGTTTAAAAACTAAATCACGTGAGATTAGAACCGCTACACCAGCCTTCTTTTGGCTTCCACTTGCTTGAAGTATTGATCTCTACCCCTTTACTTTTAGTCTGTATGCATCCTTGCAGGTTAGATGTGTTTCCTGAAGACAGCAGATACTTGGCTTGTATTTTCTTATCCATTCAGCCAGCCTATGTCTCTTGAGTGGAGAGTTTAAGCCATTCACATTTATTGAGAGAACTGATAGGTAAGGCAGATTACTGTTCATTCTATTGGGTTGGATGTTGTTGCTTTGATTTCTCTCTTGAGCCATTGTAATATCTGGCCTTAAATCTTTAGGTGTTGGTTTTTTTGTATGTTCATGAGTATTTATTATGCTGTTCCATGCGTAACACTGTTTTGAGTACTTCTTGTAGGGCTGGTCTTGTCTTGGTGAATTCCCTCAGTCTTTGCTTATCTGAGAATGTCTTAATTTGTCCTTCATATATAAAGCTTAGTTTTGCAGGGTAGAAGATTCTAGGCTGGGCATTATTTTGTTTCAAAAGAGTGAGAATGCGGACCCAGTCTCTCCTTGCTTCTACTGTTTCAGTTGAGAAAGCTGGTGTTATCCTGATTGGTTTTCCTTTGTATGTAACTTGCTTCTTTCACCTTGCAGCTTTTAGAAGGGTCTCTTTTGTTGATATTTTGGTCAGTCGGATGACTATGTGTTGTAGAGTTTTCCTGTTTGCATTGTATCTCCTAGGAGTCCTTTTGGCCTCTTGTATTTCTAATTCTAAGTTATTGGCTAGACCTGGGAAATTTTCCTCAATTATTTCTTCACATAGCTTATCCAAACACTTGGGTTTTTTCTTCCTCCTCTGGAATCCAGTGAATCTGCAGATTATATTTCTTCATATAATCCCACAACTCTTGTAAGCTTTGCTCGTGTCTCTTATTTTTCTGCTCTAACTCTGTGATTAACTTGATTTGAAGGTGTTGTCTTCAATCTCTCAGATTCTTTCTTCTGTTTGGTCCACCCTATTTTTGAGGCTTTCCGCTGCGTTTTGTATTTCCCTGAATAGATTCTTCATTTCCAGATCAGATTGATTCTTCTTTAAGATCTCGATTTCCTTAGTGAATCTTTGTTCCAAGTCCTGTATTTTCTTTGTAGTTTCTTTGTGTTGGTTATCCATTTTTTCTTGCATATCGTTGTGCTTTCTTACAATCCAATTTTGGAATTCTTCTGTCATTTTAGTGTTTTGGGTTTGTTCAGTCTCCATTTCTTGAGAGCTGATATATCTCTTAGGGGGAGTGTTTTCAGTTTGGTACTTTGAGGTTCCAGAATTTTTTCACTGAGCCCTCCCCATCTGGATCAGCTGTTGTTATTCCCTATGCTGCCCAGGGATCCTTTCTTCTGTAGTTTCTTGATCAGCCACTGGGGGGGGGCTCTTCTACCACACTTAGAAGATACCCCTGATAGGAGGGGTTACTTGTGCAGCTTATTATGGCCACTTCTGGGGGGGCGGGGGGGCCTTTGTTCCTTAACTATATCCTGACTGTTGGCCACTGACCTGGGGAGGAGATTCAGTCCCAGTGTTTTGATCGACTGGGTTACCTAAACTGTTCTGGGAAGCAAAGTCTTTTATACTGCCAGCTTAAGGGCTGCACACAGGCCCAGCGGGATCTCCCTAGATCTGGGGAGAGTGGCTTTTCTTTTCTCACCCCACCTCCAAGGGTGGAGCCTACCCTTTCAGCAGGAGAGATGTGGGCTAGGGGGAGGAGGTAGCTCCTCAGTCTGCCCTGCACCCCAATGCCCCAGTGGCTGTAATTCTTCTTGGCAGTTAGTCTTCTCAGTAGTTCATTGACTAAGCCAGGCCTGGCCAGCCGCTCGCAGATTGTGTAGGGGTGGAATTTGCCAGGAGAGTCTCTAGGCTGGGGGAGGGGACCTGCCCGCCGCACCATATCACACCACAGCAGCTGGGCTGTGGACTCTCTCAATGGCGACCACTTGCCCACTCACAGGGCAGCAGCACTGGGAGTGACTGTTTAGGAGGTGGCAGGTGCCAGGATGGGGGTCTGGGTTGTCTAGATGCCCCGTTGCCTCCTCTATGCTGCCTTCCCAACCGCCTGTTCAGCCATAGCCCTCGTTCTTACTGACTCGCCCTCGCTCTTAGTGACTCGCCCTGTGCAGTCTCATTCACCCAAGGCAGTTACAGCTTAGCGTCCCCAAGTTAGTGAACAGCTCTGTAGGGCTGGCCCCGCTCATTACCAGAGACAAGACATCTGTCTCCCCTATCAGATCAGTTCAGTTTCCTCCTGTCTTGGAGCTGCCCTAGCACAGGGCTCAGAGGAATTTCCACTAATGGCACTCTCCAGCACCCTCTTCTCCTGCCGCAATTTCGCACCAATTTCAGACAGGTCCCTGGCTGGGTGGGTATGGAGGTCGATGGGGAAGCAAGTTCTCCTGTGAGTCTGATCCCACTTCACCCCCTGGCCCAGCGGGCCAGCGCCCTCCCACGCGCCCTATTGTTCGTTTTGCACTCTCCAGAGAATGCGATCTTATCTCCCGATCACCTTGTTTTTTCGTATTTTGAGAATCCCACGCCGAACCTCTGTGGATTCTCGATGCTGTCCTTGTAGGGGGGAGATCCACTCGCATGTAGGAGATCAAGATCTATGTCTCCTTCTCTGGGAGCAGGAATCCAGGGGGTTACCTTTACTCCACCATTTGTTTTTCTCTCAACTTTTAAATTAAACTACAATTAGGAGTCTGACCAAACTTCAGATCATCTGCCTTTGTGTTTATTTTAGGTGCTTCAATAGGATATCTATTTCAGATTAAAATAATGTAGGGAATATTCCCAGTCAAACTTGGTTGGCTCTAGTACACGAGCATCATCACCCTCGACTCAAGTGTGTACCCTGCACACAGCTGTCACACGCTGCGCTGCAGGGTCCGACAATGGAGGGAAACCCTTTCACCACCTGACACTACTGCAAAGCAAAAGGCAGGGTGTGAAAGTTCTGCTACCATTAATTTCTATTCTCTAAATCGGAACTGCAGAGAAACCACGTGTTAACTTACAAGAGTGTTGACATTTATTAAGCTTTCACTCTGGGCCAGGGGCTGGGCCAAAGGCTCTGAAAAATGCATCTTCGCACATCTCACTGAGTGGCACAGCACTTGCTGGAAGTGGACTGACCGAGTTTCTACCTGGCCCCAGGAGCCGTGTGACCTTCAGGTAAGTTACTTCACGTCAGTTTCCTCGTCCATAAAGGAGAGATCTAGCCACACTGTCAGGTGGCTGTGAGGGTTAAATGCCACATCCCATAGAGCCTTTTACATCGTTCCTGGCAGAGAATAGCCACATAATGAGAGGCAGCTCTTCTTATTACTATTAGACTCTGGAACCACATTTTTAGAAGAAAAACAGGACATTTTACCAACTACATGGTAGGTGAGACTAATTTAAAAGTCTTCACTCGGGAAAAGTGAATGTACAAACTTAAAACGAGAAAAGCTCCTCTCTGTTGGAAATCCCCAAAACAATCAGAAGCTGTTCTTACCTGAAGCTGCTGCGCCAAGAGGTGCCAGGTGGATCCTCTGGCCAGCTGACCCCACTTCTTTTTTAAGAAAGGAAGGAACATATCCTGGCTGATTGTAAGTAGCGTAACTTCCAAGATTTCCTAGTGACATATCATAAAGTTTCATAGTCAGAACATGAATATTTTAAGGTGCCATAGAATAACTTGGAATACGACCTCTATTATTTCTAAATACTATTTTTTGAGCATCTACTGTGTTCTAGGCACTGTGCTACACTTGCTACAGACATCCTTATTCCATTCACATAACAACCTTTAGATGCATATTATCCACATTGTGTGGCTCTTTGAAGTAACTTGCCTCAGTTCTCACAAGTCATAAGGGACTGAACACAAGGCCTCGGTATTTTCATCTCTCCCTGAACACACCAGGCTTTTCTGTGACCCCAGTTCTTAACATGGGCCACAAAGCCCCCATCCCTGAAGGGCTCTCTGTGTCCTTTGTTTTCATTGTAAGTGTTCTCATAGGGTTGTTGTATGGACTGAGTAAGACTATGCAGAACACTTGGCATAGAATATGGTATTCTAAATGTCAGCTGTCATCATTGTCATTGTCACCATCATCATCACTATTAGTGAGTGATCAATCTGGGGGCAGCACAGGGATGGGCTGAAGAGGAAAAATCTGAAGGCGGGAGACCAGTGAGGAGGTCACTGCTTTGGCTGAAATGAGAGGCTGAGGGCCTGAACTGAGGCTGTCACAGAGGGATGGGAAAGAGGGGAACATGAACCCCTAAGTTTGTAGCTTCGGTGAGTGGGTGGGTTGTCTAAGAACAGCAAGAGGAGAATCAGGTTTCAAGAAAGACACAGTGCCCAGAGGATATTCCAGTCATGGGCAGGCTGTGGGCAGGCTAGGAGATTGGTAATGGCCAGGGTGTGGAGGTTATGGAGCTGTGGGCTTGGAGGAGCAGCTCAGAAAGTGCAAAGAGCAGGAACAGACCCCAAGGAGCCCCTCATTAAGGGAAAGGAAAGAAAGGGACCCTGTGGAGCAGAGAGAACAGATAGGCAGATGGCAGGAAGAGCAGAAGAGATCCAGAGTGGGAGGAAAACAGGAATGGCACACAGGAGAGAGGCCGATGGGACCAGCACTGCCCCGGGATCGAGCAGAAGCTGCTTCAGTGGCATGAGACAGGCTGAGGACAAACAACAGGGAATTTAGAAGCAAACTGGAAGCTGTAGGTAATAAACAGCCAGCCATGCAGGAAAGGAGACAGGCTTGTCAGCTAGAAGGCAAAATGGGCTCTGATCACCCTGATGGTTTCAAAGAATTGTCCAGTTGGCAGCTACCACGACAGTGTTTTTCCCATAGTGTTATTTGTTCACATGTCTGGAGCTCTGTGTCCCTGATGTTTTTCACAGGGTTTAGGCACAAGTGTCTGCTCTCAAATTAACAAATGTCAAAGAGCAATATTACTTATGGGGCCCTAAAGGATTTTACACAGTAAGCACATGCTATTAGTCTATATAATTTTCAACCCTATTGAATTTTGCCTAAGTACAGCTGCCTAATTTTACCCTTCTGCTCTCAGGAACTCCTTCTGAATCTCTAACCAGTTCTTTACTTCAGAGGACTTTTTGAAAGGAAGTTCAAAGCAGTGATCACGTTCAGTAGCAGCTTCAGATCACGGTTCTTGCTCTCATTCTCGTCATCAGAGCAAACACTAAATGCTCAGTGTGTGACAAAAGTCTTAGGTATGGTTATACAATAATACTTAAGTATTATTTTCTCTACTGTATAAATGGTAAAACCAGCTTAAATAACTTGTCCCAAACCACAAAAGCCAGTGACAAAAATGATGATATGTCAGACTGTAAAAGCCATGCATTGATCAGTTATGTGATGCTGCTTATTAGAAAAAGAAGGTGCTGAAAAGAAATGAATAAAAAATTAAATCTTAAATTATTTTGGTATATCTTGAAGTACCTTCTGAGCTTCAAATTTTTAGGTTGGAGCCAGTGGTTAGCACTGTTAAAACCCATGACACCAAGTCCTTAGAACACCTAAGAAATCTACCATCTCTATTAACCCAATTAATATTTTCTTTTTAAATGATTGTTAAAGCTTAAGAAATGAATTTCAGGCCGGGCGTGGTGGCTCACACCTGTAATCCTAGCTCTCTGGGAGGCCGAGGCGGGCGGATTGCTCAAGGTCAGGAGTTCAAAACCAGCCTGAGCAAGAGCAAGACCCCGTCTCTACTATAAATAGAAAGAAATTAATTGGCCAACTGATATATATATGTAAAAAATTAGCCGGGCATGGTGGCACATGCCTGTAGTCCCAGCTACTTGGGAGGCTGAGGCAGTAGGATCGCTTGAGTCCAGGAGTTTGAGGTTGCTGTGAGCTAGGCTGACGCCATGGCACTCACTCTAGCCTGGGCAACAAAGTGAGACTCTGTCTCAAAAAAAAAAAAAAAAAAAAAAAAAAAAAGAAATGAATTTCACAACTTACAAAAAGAATTCCAGGAATACTGATCACAAAATTAGAAAAATTTTTCTTTTAATTCTTTACAGTAGAATTATTTGCTTTATTTCTTTTATAAATTGCCATAATTAACTTAAGAAGATGAGCGTATAGCTTTTTGAGAGCAAATTATTCTTAGAATACCAACTACTGAGGGATGATGTTCTTGATGAAATGGAATGCTTTTCTTTCTCCTAGTCCTGAGCTGACTTCTAAAAGCAAGTCACCCTAGCCTTTTTATGTCAGGATCAGGAGCAAATGTTGAGAAGAAAATTTGACAAGAGATTCAAAGAACAAGTTATACTCATATTTAATGCCCAGAAATTACCTTGTGAGTCCTCTAAGTTTTCAGGAAAACTTTCATTACATGATAGTTTTTTGATTGGTTTAATTATGCTTTCTTCTAAAGAGAAGGCAGATGGAAAAAATGAATAGTAAGGAGAATATTTTAGGAAAAGCAGAGGAAAAAAGGAATTAGATGATTAATGACAAAAATCTAGAAAGAACTCTTAAAATGAGAAAATGTGCCCACGCGTTGTCACAGCTTTCATCTAGTACCAATTGTACATTCCCTTGAGACTCAAAGTTGTCCTGCTGTCATTTAAAGGGATTTGTGTGACTGGTTGATTCAGTGAATATTACTTTTAAATATCTAAGGAAAAATAAGTAAATTACAGTGCTACAGCATATGACTCACCTCAACACCATTAAATGGATAAGCTGAGTCTTTAAAAAACCTGGAAAACTTGTAAAAAGTCCAAGTGTGTTAATGTCAATCAGAATACCTCACTAGACTGCTCACTTGCTGTAACAGCAATCGTCAGACTTTTTGATCCAATACCACCTACAGTTTTTTAAAAAAACTCTGTACCTCTTCATGGACTTTTAATTTGATATCTAAAATTTTTAATCATAAACTTAACAGGATAAGGATGTCTTTGCAAAGGATGTCATTTCTGGCATATTGTATTATAGACATTTAAAAAATAAAACTATTACATTTCTCCTTTAAACATAGCCAACAGAATCTAAATATCATAGTGACTTTATGCCCTCCGATACTGATGTACAAATAAAAGAACAAGTTCCTTTTTGACATTGAGAAATTTCACATTAATTCCTTTTCCCCTTACAATTATATTTTTATTCATAACTCAGCTTCCAAATTTTATCCAAATATAATCTTAGGCTTAAAAGTCTTTAAATTGAAAAATGTGTATAAATTGAAAAACATTTAAATTTCTTATAAGTCTAAGTAAGTATATTAAAATACATTTTTCTGCATTTAGTTATAATTACAATGTTTCATTATATATAATTAAGCAAAAAGATGAATATTATACATTCTGATTACTAAACATGAAAAGTAAGTTTTTTTGAATATGCATCTCTTAACGAGAAAGATGGGACTTTTTTGGGTAGTTCACGTTATCAGCAAATGAATAATTGCTGCTATAATCACACAAGGTTGAGCATCCGTGCTATTTCTTTTCTCTTTTTTTCTTAATTTTTGGAGACAGAAACACTGAGAAACCTTGTTAATACAAATAAATAGTTGGGAATGAAAGGGGTTTTGTTACAGCTTTGCCACCCCATTCTTTGGACTCTCTTCAAAGTTACAGACCAAAAGTCATAAGTGACCTCATAAAAAATGATTTTTAATTACCTGTCAGCTAACAACTCAGTTAGGTCCTCCTTCAATTTTCTGAAAGCTAAGAACTGAAAACCAACTTAAAAAGGATTTGTTCCCAGTCATCAAAGTTGCTTTCTCAACAGTAACATCAACATATCAGATTTTCCATTCAATTGGCACCCCAGTTATTTTTACATTTTGGGGAAACGGGAAACACACCATAGTAGCCACTGACAATAAAAAAGTGGAACAGAGACACCTTGCTAAGGCAGATCCACGTGGGAAAGACCCAGATGGAAGGCGAGCATCTGGCAAATGATTTCCTTAAAACTATCTGTGCTCAAGTAGTAGCTGGAAAACCTTTGTGCGCCCCCTCCAGATTATGCATATCTGGGTTAGAAGAAGGTAGCTGCAATGTATTTAAAACTAAATATCGGTAAAGGAAAGCAGTGTATATTTATATTTTAAATGTCTTCTTTCATTACCTGCATTACTCCTTTTGAAAGCAAGTTCTGCCCGAGTGGGTCCCAATGACTTAGGAAATAACTGAGTTCTCCAAGTGTGTGGGTTTATCTCCTTTCTTCCACTGGCTATCAAGGACACGTTCTTGGGATTTACACCTTAGAAGAACAAAGCAGTCATTTCAAAGGTTAGAATGTGATCATAAATTTGAAGGAAAAATATATAATACATTCAAAGACTAAAATACCTTGGACAGGAGAATAGAAATAAATTTAGGTTAAAATGTAGCAAATATTTGCTTTTTGTGAACCCTAACATGATCCTAAACCCTCAACACAACCACCTGGAATACTCACTTTATGCTTTATGAACAGAAGATACTTTCTATAATATACATAATAGTAAAAATTTGATGTTCTTGCTAAATGTATTATAAAAATTGAAGTGTTACAAAATTTTTTTCGAAAACATGACATTTCCATGTCACTCACTTGTTTTTAATGCTCTGGGCCAGACCCTTGGTGTAGTGGGAAAAACATAGACACACGAACAAGAACTCAGGGAAACCTGAGAAGTTCTGAAATAGACGTGTTACAGATCCATCTGTAATGCTTACTTGTGTATTAGACATAGTAAAATCTAAATAGTATCACTTGTGAACCAGAGAAGGTGTTGGAATGTACTTGGAAAAGAGGACAGCTTAAATTATTTGTGATTTTCTGATCTGTGAAATGTTGGGTCAGCCTTCGGCTTGGGTACTAGTGGTCAAAGGGGGTTGTTTTATCTTGTTTCTAAGAGAGTTGAAAACGTCTTGAGCTCATTTTCTTTTTACTTGACAATTAAATTTGACTGAACTTGTGAGATGCTAAAGATGTCACACGGTCTACGTCTTTAGTGTTTTCTTTAGTTAGTATAGAAATCTATAGTATGTTTAAACCTAAACTGAAGACTGCATTAATTTAGGAAGTTAGGACTATTTCTAGGCAGTATAAACTTTTGTTTTTCACAAGCTTAATTCCTTAGAAAGGTTTCGCATTTATGAGCAATGTAATAATATCCCTTACTTTGAAACCCGAAGGACTGAGCCTCAAGTTACCCATTGTCGGTTCTCCAAGGAAACACTCCATCAGGCAAGAAAGTCCCCTTTCTTTTATATATATATATATATATGTATTTTTTATTTTCCTTTTTTTTTTGAGACAGAGTCTCACTGTGTTGCCCGGGCCAGAGTGCCATGGCATCAGCCTAGCTCACAGCAACCTCAAAGTCCTGGGCTCAAACAGTCCTTTACAATCCTTCTGCCTCAGCCTCCTGAGTAGCTAGGACCACAGGCATGTGCCACCATGCCTGGCTAATTTTTTCTATATATGTTTTTAGGTGTCCAATTAATTTCTTTCTATTTTTAGTAGAGACGGGTCTCACTCTTGCTCAGGCTGGTTTCAAACTTCTGACCTTGAGTGATCCACTCGCCTCAGCCTCCCAGAGTGCTAGGATTACAGGCGTGAGCCAATGCGCCTGGCCTAAGTTCCCTTTCTTATAGGGTATAACTCCCTAATAAAACACCTACAAACAGAACTATAATAGACAATTACCTGATAATAAAGAAGATGTACTAGGTGGCAATTACATTGAAAACATCTTCACCCAAAAAGAAAGTGCAATGTAGGGGGAAAAAATTAAAAATCTCTTTAAATGAACACAGTTTTCATAAATATAGTTCAATACAAGGTCTTTTTAAAATAAAGATTCCAATTCTGTTGGAAATACATACATCCTAGAATTTAAAATTATTTATTAGTTTATAAGCTTTTATTGGGTACCTTCTATATAACAAACACTGTTAGGCAGAAGTAGAAATTAATATAATTTGATAATGATATGTATCAATATATAAAGATAATTGCTCAAGAAGTCAGTTAGCAAATATTTACTGAGCACCTCCTATGTGCCAGTGTGTGTGGCATTGGACAAAAAGTGGTAAACAAAATAGAGCATTCCTATCCTTTTGTCTCTTATAATCTAATGAGAAGAAAGACATTTATAGTTATAATGAATTAAGTAAATAATTAGCAGTGTGCAAACTGGAAGAATCTGATGCAACCAGGCAAATAACAGAAGCAACTCAGCCAGTCTTCCTTTCAAAAAATCAATTTTAAGCTGAAATGTGAATCATGGTTAGGGGCTGGGGAGGCGTGTTCCTGGGAGAAGCGACAGTTTAGGCAGAGGCCCTTAGACGGGGAAGCCCACAGAGGTGGGTGCTCAGCTCGGATGCAGTAAGAATAAGGAGTGGTACAAAATGAAGCTGGATGGGGGAGGAGGATCAGATAATGCAAGACTTTGTATATGGTGTTAAGAAATTTAACATGCAGTAAAGGAGGCTAAGAGAGACATGACACATTGAATAAACAGGAAAGATGGTAAGAGCTAAATGGGAAGAGAGAAGCATTCTGTGGAAGCTGTTCTTACAGCCAGCAGAGGTGGCATCGATTCATGCTTGGAGTCCTGGTTCCAGGAGCACAGGGTGAGACCAGAGGGCACCTGGTAGCATTTCCATTGCATACTCTATTTGCAACTACCTTGTGATAATTAAGTACCTAAGGCTTACAGGGTGAGCTGATAGATGACTGTAGTCCCATTGTAAGTAACAGAAAACAGAATCTCAAAGTCTTGCTCCAAGTACACAGCTGGTCAGTCGCAGGTCAATAACTATGACTCTTGCGTCTCTTTCCCTGAAGGCCAGTGTCACAGATCTGCCAGTCCTTGTAGTATAATGTCATGCTGCCCTGCAATTATATGGTACATTTCTAGAGCTCCCATAATCCTAAAGGTTGATGCTTAAAATAAGACCTTTTATATTTGGCTTCACAGTAAAAAAAGAGGGTCCCCCCCCCCCAGATATTATTTTTATTCCTGAAGATATTCAATTACAAAAATATTTATGGACCACAAATAAATGTCAAAGATTTCTTCTTATTCAGGTTTCTATCTTCTGCACAATTGCTGGTTCACAGTAAGTGCTCAATAAATGTTTGTCCAAGTGACTGAAATGAGCCCAATTCTAGTTTCAAATCTCATCCAGCTCTAAAAGGGTCATCTTCAAAACAATGCCAATAGGGTGACAGACAGTAGGGCTCACATTTAGGTTTCAAACAATTCTTTGTCATTTTGAGTCCATCTTTAAAGTGTCAATTATAGCCATACTCTCATCCCAAGTAATTTGCAGAATTTTTTAGATCTTTCTAGTTAAAAAAGAAATGATCAGACAGGGCTCAGAGACCCTGAATTGTATTCTTAAAAACCACTTAGGAAGCTGAACTGTGAAAACAGGGTGCTTGGATCCATTTACCCTTTGCCAAAATCTACAGTGTCTTTCCTGCCACCAGAGGACTCACTTCTATAAGACAAAAATAGTGATTTGCTAATTTTCAGTGATTTTTTTTTTAAAACAGATAAAAGTATCTATCTCCCATGAATCTATATCCTAGAAACTTTCTTACTTCCCTGCTCTTGCGATCACATTAGAACTCTCTGAGGGTTTCAACGCTAAATTTTACAAACCTGCTGGTATCTAGAAATTACAACACAGGTATTTTGGTCCTTTTAAAAGTGTGCACCAACCCTTACGGACTTCATTCCAACTCCTCTCACCTTCCTAAGGGACTTTGGTCCCTCGGCGTCTCCCTCTTCCCCTGGACTACCCGTTCCTCCTCCCACAAGCACTCAAACCCATGTGGGCACAGCCCTGCTGGGAGCATTGCTAAGCAACCCCCTGCATTTCACACCTGTTAGGTTCCTTTGCTAAGCTCCTCTTCAAGGCAAACTGAGATGCAACAGCTTAAGTGAGAACTGCCATTACTACAGTCTGATTATAAAGAGACATGTGGGTAAATTTCTCATCCTATGATTGTAACAATATGATAATTTCCTATACAAAAAAGTTAGAATGAATTAATTTTTTTCTCACTTTCCAGGATCATAGCATAATGTCACAAATAGAACAGTCTTTTTCGAACTGCAGGAGAGATTACAGTGGTGAAAATTTGACTTTATAAGGAAGAAAGAATAAGGACTTTAAACTCAAGAGTAGATTTCCAAATAAACTCAAAATATTTCCAATTTTTAAAAAGTGACCAAGAAAACAAAAAGACTAGCAAATGCCATGTTCATATCTTACATTAGTAAAAATGTTACCGTATGGGAATTTTCTAATCCCCATCCCTTGGCTCACAAGAATCTGCATCTCCCCCACACCCTTTTTCGTTTGTTTGTTTGTTTGTTTTTAAATTGCTATATCATAGTTGCATATATTTTTGGAGTACATGTGATATTCTGACACATGTATACAATGTGCAATGATCAAGTCAGGGTAATTGGGATATCCATCACCTCAAACATTTATCTTTTCTATGTATTTAGAACATTACAATTCATCTCTTCTAGCTATTTTGAAATATATAATAAATTATTAACTTTAATTTTCCTACTGTCCTACCAAATACTAGAACTTATTCCTCCTGTCTATATTTCATCCCCACCCCCAACTATTTTAATAAAATATTTGTAAATTCATTTGCTATATGCTACCAAGGAGATACACATAAATGTCTTCCCTCTGTTTCTCTCTCCAGTTGCACACAATCTTTCATGACCTATGTTTTTTCAGGCCTGCTTCCCATGCCTCACCCTGCTGCCACAGAGCCTAAATAATTTGCTTACAATGAAACAAACCTTAATATTTAATCTACTTAGATCTCCAAATACTCAGTTATAAAGTTTTGCTCTGTCCTTGATAACTTCATGCCAATCTCTTCAACCTCTCTTAGAACTGTTAGTGCCTTCCTCCTCACAAATCAGCACAGGAGCGTGGTTGCAAAGCCTTGGTTTGCTATCGTAAGTTCATTCCGACTCGACAGCTGCGGCTCACCCTGCACACCCACTACGCCTCCTGTTTTCTCTCCCAGTCATTTCTAAACTTCGTGCAGTTTCATTTTTTTTTTTCTCTCTTCAATTACTAACAGGAATGGGTCCCAGCTGGATTCCTAGAACTAAAATTTATATGGCTGCCTATGAGGTACACAGGAAAAGGTGTAACGTACCAATCTCTTGCTAATAAATCCAGTCTCAACCTTTCCGCTCATCTGCCTTACCCTCCCTCCCAAAACAAGCTTCTGGGAGATGAAGACCATGGCTTGTTCAGGAGACTTAGCTGTAAAAAGCAAATCTTCCTCAGGTAAACACAGAGCCTGCTTATTGCATTTAGAAAGCTAAAAATGAGCAAGCCCATAAAAACCCAAAAGAAAAAATCACCTCCTCCTCACTGGACTAAAGATATATCTGTACAGACACATGATGATGTAAAAATTGATTCCCTTTTAGATTAAACTGAATCTGAAACTGTTTTTTCATTGGATTTAGAGGAGAAAGTGCTGTTTGCAGGCACATGATAAACTCCCCACTGTCTGTCTAGAGCTTTCTCCCAAGCCCCAGATTCATATATCCAGGTGTCTGTCAGATCAACTCAGATGTTCCACAGGTAAGCCGAACTCCACTCTCGATTCTCCGCCTCCACGCTCCCGTGCTCTCCTGCTTCTGTCTCAGCCCACGTCACCGCCACCCACACAGCTGCCAAGCCAAAGCCTCCGAAGCTGACGCCGATTCCTTCCACTCCTGCGCATCACCCCCGCTCGCCTGACCACAAGTCTGTCAGGTTCGTGACCAAGATCCGTCTAGATTCTACCCACTTCTAGCTCTGCTGCTTCCACTCTGGAACTTGCCTCTCCCATCTGGATATGTGCGATAGTCTCTTGATCAGTGTCCCTGCCTCTCCTGAGCCCCTAGCATGCTCTGCCCCATAGCCAGAATGATCTTTTAAAAACTTACATCAGATCATTTAGGAAACAGTATTTAAAAATCTACATTTTATAAAAAGTTGTAATGGGAATGCAGAATTGCTTCAATAACATTTATTAGCATTTACTAACTGCATAGCTTTGCAGGGAGAGGGTGGTATTTTTGGAAGCATGTTCATAATCCTGATTTTTAGCTACTATGCATTTCTTGAGCAGAAATAGGAGATCTGAAAACAGGCTGAGCTACCAAAGCACACTGAGATTATACTTTTGATTTCACTGGTGCCCTTTCTCCAGAGATTCCAGGACACTTGAGCCTGACTAGTTAGCAGTAACCATTTATTTTCTCTGCTTACCTGGAAGGTATCTTGATTGTTTCAAGTAGTACTGTTTAGCTGTTGAAGCAGTTGACAATTCAGAATCAGATTTTAGAGAAATAGGTGCAGGTAAGTCCTTGTTTTCCCCTAGGGAGTGGTTGGAGCCTGAGGGTACTGACTCAGGAAGCCTTGAAAGTCAACATGAGGCAGCATTACAACGTGAACAATGAGAAGTTCCTACCCACCCTCTGTGCATCTTCTCAAACCAGTCAATGGTTTTCATCAGAGTCCTCTGGCTAAATGACAACTCCTCTCTACCTCCGGTAGATATTAAGCAGTGCATAGAATCATTTCTGATACCAGACAGTACATGACAGGAAGCTTTATAGTGGAGCAGCAGTTTGCTTGTGTGCAGTTGTTAGGCTGGCTTAGGGTGAGAACCTGAACAGTACAGGACTTAATGCGGTTAATGGAAAACTTAGAGAGTGATCACAAAGCCTGTGAAACGAAAGCCGCAGGAGTCTGGAGAGTCCAGAGGTTGTAAATCTAACTCCAGACCAGACAACTGCAGCGATATCAGCATTCCTATCACCCCTGATAAGGTGGAAGCTACCCTCTCCCTTATCTCTACAGGATGAGACCAACACAGGGGTCCCAGAAACTGATCATTTGAAAAAGCATTTATTACACTGGCTGTTCTGGCCCTGTTGTTCACTCCCCCTGGAAAAACCCTCTATAAAACCTAATGCTTTTCCCTCCCCGTCGTGGTGGATGCTTTTTTTTGGCCTCCACCCATCTGCACCCAGATGCTCAAATAAATGGCATTTTGCTACCCCTGAGGCTTGGTGTGTCTTCCTTTCAGCTCTGGACCTAACATCAGTATGTTTCTATCTTTCCTGTAACTGCTGCAGTGTGAAGTTGGTGCACTGAAAGGGAAGACAATAATAGCCATCTTCACCTGTCAACTAAAATAACTTGTAATCAGTAAGGTTGTTTGGGGCATGGCTGGATGGGCTAAGAAAACCGAAGTGGGGAAAGAAGGGCTAGTAAAGCTCCCATGTAAAATTTCCAATTACCCTAATGACACACATAGAAAACATGTATTTGCTGAGACATGCCCATTCCCCAGCATAGAACTTGTGGCTGAGCACCTGGCTGGCTGTTCAGTGGTGTTGGTACTAAGATTGACTCTGCCACTCAGTCCCTGCCTCCCCAGCCCTTTTTCTGTTTAGGAACTGGGGACTTTCAGCTTCCAGGCTTAGCTCTGTCTTGTTCCTGAGGCCATTTTAACTAAGCAGCAGTGCTTGAGGCAGCCTTCACTACCAGAGGATGGGGCTGTAACTTGTTTTGCTGCCCATTCCTGTGTGCTGTAATGAGCTCCTCACAACTGACCCTCCAACTGGGCTTCCTTGTTACTGGGGCCGGAATGTACTACCCAACTCCCATCATCTGTCTTCATTCTGAGAATCTTCGGTTACCACCTAGAAATTCACACTGCCACATTCTACTTACCAAGTCAACACCCTTGGAAATGGACACTAATGGCCCTTTGAACTGCTGGTCACCCACTTTGGGGTAGTTCCTGACCCAGGTACATCCACTTCATTGGAAACAGCCCTGCCCACCTCTGGCATCTTCCCTTCCCTTCCTGCTGCTGTTACACCACCGACTGAAAAGTCTACCCCATTCCCAAACTGCTCACTCTAAAGACTTTCCTCTCCTCATCAGAGTGCTCTGCCCATAGACAGAACTCTCAGAGCTCCTTGCGGCTCCTGCATTCCTGGCACTAAATACACACTCTTGTCTCATGTTATAGTTCTTTGAAGGTCTTATTTCTGCTGCTGTATACTTGATGGGTTGAGGACAGGCTTAATACCAACCAAGTGTTTAGTAAATGGCTACTGAGTATAAATGTAAATATAAATGTGAGTATAAATATCTTGCTTTTTTTTACTTTAATAAAAGATAAACATTAAATAAAAGGTTTACATGTTAGTATTTAGCACTCTGTATTCTTAGTGGAGAAGCCCCGGCTGCCCGAGAGACCGAGCAGGGAATAACAGAGTCTGTTCAATTCACCGAGCCCTTGAGCTCCTGCTGCTGAAGAGGTGGTGTGGTGCAGGAGAGAGAAGACCTGGATTTGAATTAAGCCTCATCTGTCTTGGCAAACTTACCCAACCTGAGTCTCGGTGTCCTGTTCTGCAGATATTATTATTGGAGTATGAAGATTATAAATAAAGTTTAGGTAGATGGTAGTATATTGATAATTACAATAACTATATGCCTAGAATTGTACAGGGCTATTGAAAGATACAAAAAAATAAAAATGTAGAAGAAATACCCACAAGAAAAATTCATTGTCATATAGTTTTTCTAAAGAATTTCAAGACAAAAAGGACAATTGATATTGAGATTTACCAATTGGTCCCTTGCCAGAATCAGGCATATAGACTACAACTCTGATCTTAACTATAAGTTTTAATTCAAATTTCTACCATCCTCAAAAATATATTATAAAAGTTTTGCTAAAATTAGAATGACATGAGTTAAAAAAAATTTTCAAGCCGTCCATACACTGTATCAATGGTTTTTGAGCTCTTCTGCTCCTAGACCCAAAGAATTGTTTTTTAAAAAACTATAACTCCCTGTACATCTTTAAGTTGACATCTATAATTTTTCATTGTAAATAAATTTATTTCTTGTTTCTTGTTAATCGCAGATAGAAAAAAGTAAATGTTTTATAAGCAACATATTGTGAAGATTGACTGTAATTGGAATATTGCATGGTAAGACTTAATAAAAATAAGTTTTAGCTATCTTATCCATAAAACACTCTGAATCTTCAAAAAATATATAAGATTTTTATGTATGGGTTTTGAAAAATGAGATGGTCCTACAGAACATTCTCATACATTTAAAAGAATATGCATGACTATCCTCTGGTGCTTCAGTTAGTTGTGAATCAACATGCTTCCCAGCACAGGCTAAAATAAAGCAGCCCCCCTTACCTGCAGTGGCTGTGTTCTAACACCCCCAGTGGATCTTGGATCCACTATATCCAGATCTTATATACTGTCTTTTTTCCTTTATGTACCTACATACTTATGATGACGTTTATAAATCGGGCCCAGTAAGAGATTAACTTCAATAATAATAACATAGAACAATCATAACAATACACTGTAATAAGTTATGTGAATATGGTCTCTCTCTCTCTCTGCAAATATTTAGTTGAACTGTGCCAAAGGTAACTGAAACCATGTAAAGTGAAACTGCAGATAAGGGCAGACTACTGTGCCCTATTTCTAATGCAGGGTTTTTCCCTTAAGAGAAATATGTACAAGAAACAACAGAAAGCCTTTTCAGTTAAAGGCGCCAGTCTTCTGATTTCTCCCTTTGCTTAGTGCCTCTAGTGTCACGTAAGATTTGAAATAGCTGAAAGATGTGACTTTCTTGCCTAAAGAGGGAGAGGATTCCTCTAAGTGGGATTGTCCTCAAGTTCATGTATTTTAGGAAAGGGTATGTATGAAACGTGAGGATCTGGAAATTGACTGTAGAAGAATTATCCAAGCATATGTCCCCTCTAGAGAGTCTTCATGCATCTTCGAGGGTATGTGTGCCCCAAAGTCTGCACTATACCCTGCCAGACAGCTACTGGACAATTTCCCTGACTCACAGCACAGCTGTTCTCCTGATGCCTCTTCTGTTCCAAAGAGGAAAAAAATTGAAAGTATTTTTCCAAAATGTTCACCAAAATTTAACCTAACCTAACTTTGACGATGAATAATGTATTAATAAGGATCTAACTTGTAAAAAGAAAAGGGACTTTTAGAAATATTAAACTTCCAGAAAGTTCAGAAAATGATCAAAAAAGTTTAGTATAGCAAGCAAGCTAATAATTAAGTCTTAACACCATCAGAAGAAACCACTAACTTTGTACATGGTGCTCTCTTTCTGCAAATAGGCTTGTGAATTTCAAATGGGAATAATGATGATCACAATTCACAACAGCACCATAAAAACTGAACAAGAACCCCTTCCTACACACGCACACAGCCACACCCCCCCACACACACACACCACTCACCCACTAATACTGAGAATCATTCCTGTAAGAAGAGTCTTAACTTTTCAGAGGTATGCATAAGGATTTGGGTTTTGTAGAAGAGAACAATATTAATTAAGCCATGTTTTTTTTTAAGGTCTACATTCATTTATATTTAATGAGTAAAATATAGTTGATACATGATAAAAATATTTTTTTCCTGAGAAATTTGAGAACTTACCAAAATGGAATATCTTTTTTCTTCTTTTCTTTGAAAACGCCCATGCTTGGCTTCTTGGAATGGGAGGCTCCAAAATCACCATCCTCAAACTCCTCCCAGTTGTCTCTAGACTTGAAGGTAGCCTGGCCCCAGCGCCTCCTTGCATTTTTATGACCCAGTGTGCCGTTTGGCTTCTGTGGTGAAAAGTCAGTCATCATAATCTTTAATCACGTGCTGAATGCCTTTCATGCATGAGCTATAGTGTTAGACACTAAGAATCCCCATTCTCAAGGAGCCTTCCATATACTAAAGGAGACAACATACACACACATTTAAATGCATTACCAAAAATAGGTAGTAAATGCCAAAATTATAATAGGTATTTAAAGGAGAGAGATCTGTGAACTTTGGTAAGGGGGGAGACTTGAATATTTAGGATCTGAGTCGACCCTTTATTGATGTGAAGGATCCAGAAAACTGAGGCTTGGCTGTGTCTCTTTGGGCAAGTGACTTAAGTTCTCAAAGCCTTAGCGCCCTTCCCAAGTGGAGACAGCCTTAAGGAGTGGACACTGAGGCTGGCATGTACCAGTATCTTTCACTCTTCCCCCTCCTACAATGCAGACATGACACCCAAAGGAGCAACAGCCATCTCATGGCCACAGCCACGAAAGCCACTTGCTGAGGGCGATGGAACAGGAAGGCGGCCCAGCCTGTTTCCTTTGGAAGCTGCACAAGCTCCAGGGTGCCTGCCACCCAGCTTCTTGTTAAGTGAGGAAAAACAACCCCTATTGTTTAAGCCACAGTGGTTGGGGTTTCTGTCATAAGTCACTGAATGTAATCCTAATGGACACAGAGAGGGAAGTCTGAGTCTGATTGTCTCAAAATGGTGGCATCATTAACAGAAATAAGGAATGTGGACATCCTGACTTGGGACAGAAAATGAATTGGTTTTATACAAATTCATAGAGTGGTTTGGGGCATATAAACAGCAAAATCACCAAGGCAATTCAAAACCAGCAAATAGAGCTTGGAAGGAAGGCAGCCAAATACAGCTTTGTTGGCAGCAAGAAGATGCTTTAAAAATTGATATGCTATTGCTTGAAGCTGGTGCTTTGATAATAATGGATGATGACAAAAAGTGTCCACTTCCATACTATTATTTTCTTTGCCAGAGACAACGATCTCCAGACTGAAGGGAATACAAAGATGTGAAGCTCCAGATGAGTAGAGTTAATAAGACAACACACTTCACTGAGTTCAAGCCTCCTTTTCGTGGCACTGTATTTTAGGGCACTGATGCTGAACACTGCTGAACAATGTCAGTGACAGAAAAGAAGCATGTATGTCTGGGAAGACATATAATATCATAATAATATAAATTATTTTCATAAAGTAGAGGAGGATATTTTGCAAACTCTACATTAAGTTTGGTATAGGATGAAGGCAAAAATTCTAAAAATTATTAAAGAGAATGTTTGTACATACTAGGAAAAAATGGTAAATCTTAGAGGCCCATCATTTTTCATAAAGAGCAAAAAATGAATGTGTTGGCTGTAGTGCATGTCCACTTCAGCCAAGTGAGTAACAGGATGTTTCATGGCATCCTTACCACTGAAATAAAGTGGTGAAAGGACAGCAAAGGTAGATCAGTACATAGTTCCATAATCTGACCAAGACTACTGAATAATGGATCAATATCAATCTAGAACAAGGTTCTAGTGGCCTGCCCAAAGGCTCCCTGCTGTTCTGTTCATCGTGAAGACACAGGAGAAAAACAAACAACTAAACAAATCCATAGTGGCAATAAGCTGGAATGGCCAAACTGAGAAGAAAAAATAAGGGTTCAAAAATAACTAGAAATTTGAGACATAAAAGTGAAGTCTTGCAACTCTTTGAATCCTAGAGATCAAATATATAAGTAGAGGTACAGGATATGTGATTTAGCAGAAGAATTTATAAATGCTTCAGGTAGACTTAGACATTTTAGTTGACAGAATGCTCAGTCCCAGCTCTGAACTTACTGGCTAGGTCAAATTCTAGGGCTAGGTTACTAGGTACTGAGAGAGCACACATGGGCGCCCAGCACAGTGCATAGCACTGAGCAGCTGCTCAATACATATTAACTTCTTTTTCTTCCCTCTCAGTACGAGGCAACATTTGATGTGCCAAGAAAAAAAGGGGGGGAATGCAAACCTTGGGAGCAGGAGTGAACATATGGTTTTGGAATGTTGGAGGAGATTCATCCTGCTCTGTCCTCCCTACCCTCTGTCCGTCTATCTCTGGCAGCCTCATTCCAGGTGGGAAACAGGCAGGTGAGAGGATTTAAAGGCTCCTTCACACACAAGATCTTAGGGTCACTCAGTGGTTGGTGAATGATGTCATATTCAGAGCATGTCCGGGAAGGGGGATGTTTTTCCTAGGTAAAGGGCAGATAATACAAGGGCGATCTTCAAATATCTAAAAGGTTGCCTTTTCTAGAAGAGTGATTAGATTTTATCAAAAGCTATTGAAAACCAGATTTTAGCTCAGCATAAGGAAGAATGTTCAGAACTGTCCCAAAGATGAAGTAGATTCCCCAGAACCCTGGAGGTTTAAAAATAGTGTGGACATCATGCCTGTAATCCTAGCACTCTGGGAGGCCGAGGCAGACGGACTGTTTGAGAATCTACCATGTGGCAGGCACCATTCTAGGTTCTGGGGCTATACTGATAAACAAAACAAACATTCCTGACCTCGTGGAGCTTTCATCCTAATAGGAAGGGCCAGATAATAAACAATAACATGAAAAACAAGTAATTAATAGTATATTAGACTGTAATTACTGCTATTGAGGGGTAAGGAAGCTTCACTTATACTATGATGGTGGGGGTGGTAGGGGACTGGATAAGGAATTAGATACAGTGTTAAGATCTCTTTCAGTCCTAGAATGCCATAATGCAAACACATTTGGAAGTGTACACCCCAAGGAGACAGCTAAATAATATGGCACTTGATGAGCTCCTGGAACAGAACAAAAGAAGTGGGAAGAAGAAGTTTTATACTATGCCTCACAAAAACAAACAAAAAAACCCTATTCTATTGATGTTCATTAGCATTTAAAAACTGTAAAATTGCAGTACTGTTAAAATATTTAAGATTTAGGATCAGTATTCTGGAGTACCCGATTCTTTTTCATTCTTTCTTTGAATTCTTCTCCATAAGATGAACTGTTAAAGGAAGTCTGTATCATGCAAACTTTATTACTTTCATTCTGAAAGTTTTTCTCTTTATTACCCATATTAGAATTTTTAAGTTATCTCATTCCAAACTTCTATCAGAGGAACCAGGGGGGTTTTAACATAGCATAATTCTTTTATATCTTCCCCAACATAATTAGAAATGTCTTGAAACCGAATCCTAATTGTGCGAGTCAAGCTATTTCATGTCAAGTGTCATTACTGGCTACTTACACATGGCATGTTTTTGATGATACTTGGAAATAGTGGCGGTTTCTGCTGATTCTGTTGCTGTGGAGGTTGCTGGACACTCACGTTCTGTGGTGGCTGAATGGGCTGCAGCGGTTGGTGGCTGGTTTTTGACTGAGGCTGTCCGACAGTCTGATCAATTATATCTGGCAGAGGCTTAGGTTCTAGTTCAACTAAAGATGGCTTCAGTTCTATTGGTTGCAGCTGCTTGTGTAAAGGCTGTTTTGATTCCAGATGATTTGAGCAAGGGCCTAATACCTGGCCAACTTGAAAATATGGGTGTTTCAATGCCTGTAAAAAGCATGGAAATAACAAAAAAGGGAAAGTGGTTCCACCTAAATTTATTGCACATAAACTATGATTGTCTGGCACTGGGCTAGGCATTTAGCATTAGCCTACATAAGCTTCAAAGATCAAGAAAGCACCCATATTTTCCACCATCCAGTGTCCCTATGTGGATAGTTCTAAAATATAACCAGAAAAGAAATGATTTGAGAAATAAATTTCATTAATAAAATTTAAAAGTATGAGTAGAAAAAATATAAAATCTCACTTGTAATTTTAAAACCTAGGCAAAACAACTGTTCTATTTATTTAAAGATTTTTGCATAAAATAAAATCTAATCTATAAGCATTGGTTATTGATATGACTAATTCACTCTAAAATACTAGACACTGATCATGGTTCAGAGTACATCAAAAGGCATTAAGAATTAAGAAAAACTTCCACATAGTTTATTGAAAATGATTAGCCACAGCTGTATATAAAATTCAGGGTTACTCTCGGCCTTAGTATAACAATAAAAAAATTCTAAGAAAGGAGACTACAAATACATATGTGTTTATCAATATACCAGCAAGGAAAAGACATTTATGGGAAGAAAATACAAAAATACTAATAAAAATGATCACTGGATTTTTACCTAGATCATTTTTCCAACTGCTTACATGGAGGAGAAAGAACCCCCTGATGTCTGGGTAGCATAGTCTAGAGCAGTGGTTCTCAACTTGGGGCAAGTTTGGAGACATTTTTTAGGAGACATTTTTTATTATGATGATGGGGTGGGGAAATGCTACTGGCACCTAGTGTCTAAAGGGCCAGGAACATTGCTAAATATCTCATAATGCACAGCATAGTCCCCTACAACAAAGAGTTATCTGGTCTGAAATGTTAGGATTGAAATTGAGAAAATATTCTAGAGAACGTCTGAAGCTTTCCATGCCACAAAGCTGTGAAAAAATTCCCTTCTCAGCATCCTATACCTGGGCAAAGGAGGGAATTTCCCAGCCCTGCTGCCTCTGGCTGTTCCTGTTTTCTGGGGACGGGCTCCTTAACAGTGCCAAGCCCTGGTCCCATGCCCTCAGCCCGTACCCACTTGTGTGGCAACACAGCCTTGACCAACAATTAATCCCTTCTCACACGTGAAAGGGCAGTTTTCAGAGGAAAAGAAAGTAGCTCTGTATTTTATTAATAGATGGTCTTTGAATCCTACAACTTAACCAAGCTTTCTCCCTAACTAGATCTTTCTGCATCCACTAAAAGCAGGGCTGTGAAACAGTGCACAAGAAAGCGTTAGTTAAGGGTTAGGGGAAAGGCAGGGAGGTATATTTTGGCAGAAGTAAATGGAGTTTTTCTTTTAAGATGTTCCCTACTGCAACTGATGTATAACTATAGTAATATTGCTAAGTGGAAGGCAACAGACATAATTTAAATACTTCAGTACCTAGCATACAGAAGGTACTCAAATTCTGAAGTAAGTCACATTAATTAATTAGTATGTCAGTGCTCCTAAATTAATAATGTATATTTTGGAGCTGGAACCTTTCAGGATGTGTTTTGTAATTTCAAGGCTTTGTAACAACTCTTCCCTTTTAAGATATCAACTGCCATCCTTCCAAGGGGAAACTTTAAATAATATTAGCATTTTTTTCTATTTATGAAGGGAGTAAGTGATCATTGCAGACAATAAGAAATGATCTCAAAAAGAAAATAAAAATCATCTCTAATCTCAACACCCAGAGACAACGACTGCTAACATTTTTGATATTTTTCTTTTCAGTATTTTCTTCCTCATCATACAACATATATATTTTTAAACAAAATCATATTATATGTATAATAGCATTTGAGCATGAGATATCTGCCAAATTATTACATTTTTTTTTAATTTTAAAACATTCATTGTTAATGGTGGCAATATATTCCAAATTAAAGATGTACATAATTTAAATATGGAAACATTTAGAGACTAACTTTCAATGGGTAGTTTTCAATTGTACTTAAACATCTTTGAGCCTAAATATCCAACTTTCTGTTTTAAGGCTCTCTCTCTCTCTCTATATATATATATATTACAATTTTGTAATATATATATATATATATATAAAATATATATATATATTACAAAATTGCTTTCTCTTACTAAGAGAGATGTAAAATGGTATCTCATCTTTACTTGCATTTTATGATAAGAAACAAAGATTGAACATTCAAAAAATATTTTTGGTAATTTGTATGTCTTTTCCTTTGAATATTTAGAAAGATAAGAAAATACACAAACATTTCAGTATTTTATTATGTTTTTGTAGGAACCTTATATTAAGGATACTAACATTGTCATAATTGTTAAAAATAAATTTTGCTATCTCTTTTTTCCATTTTAAGATTTTCACATAGAAAAAATTTTAATTTTTATGTAATCAAATCTTCTGAGTTTTCCTTTTGTGGTTTCTTCTATAAATTTTATACCCATTTTTCTTACCTTGAGATTGAGCATGCATGTATGCTTTCTATTAGTTTCTAAAAGTTTAAAGTTTTTTGTTTTATAATTTTTAAATTTAATCCTTCTGTTACCTATTTGTAAAGTATAATAAGTGGTAAGAACCTAAATTTACTTTTTCCCTAAGAGTTAGTGAATTGTCTCGGTATTATTCACTGAATAGTCCTTCCCCCATTTATGATGCCACATCTATCTTTTCCTGAGTTATACGTTCTGGAACACCGAGCTATTTGTCAACCTGGATGCCAGTTGACAACAGTTTCACTGTTGTTATTATTGTCACTTACACATTACTCTACTATCTGATGCGGCAAGCTGTCTGCCCCTATCACCACTCTAATTACTTATTCTTGTTTTAACTCCCCTTGACTATTCTTTCCCATTTGTTCTTCCAGATGACCTTCAGAAAGCATTTTCTCAAGTTTAATTTAACAAGCAAAATAATTTTTTGTAATTTTGACATGTAATTTATATTTCAATAATCAGAATACAATAAACCTTATCACTTTTTAATCAAAACCCTTTGAGATAAAAGCATGGTGTTTTAAAGGCCAGAAGACTTGCTATGCATGTGTAGATGTTAGCAGGTTAGTCACAAAGGAACAAAGTGTGGCGTCACAGTGCTGCCCTATTGTGGTACCCAGAGACTGAACATTATTACTCAAGTCCTAGGGAGGGATGACACTGCTGTGTCAAGTGATCAAGAATCCCAACTCAGGCCGGGCGCTGTGGCTCACGCCTGTAATCCTAGCTCTTGGGAGGCCGAGGCGGGCGGATTGCTCGAGGTCAGGAGTTCAAAACCAGCCTGAGCAAGAGCGAGACCCCGTCTCTACTATAAATAGAAAGAAATTAATTGGCCAACTGATATATATATAAAAAATTAGCCGGGCATGGTGGCTCATGCCTGTAGTCCCAGCTACCCGGGAGGCTGAGGCAGAAGGATCACTCGAGCCCAGGAGTTTGAGGTTGCTGTGAGCTAGGCTGACGCCACGGCACTCACTCTAGCCTGGGCAACAAAGCGAGACTCTGTCTCAAAAAAAAAAAAAAAAAAAAAAAGAATCCCAACTCTAGGATAATGTAAGTGGTGCTAGCTCACTGTCATTTCTTAAAATTGAGTAATATTCCATTGTAAACATATACCAAATTTTAATAATCCACTCATGAATTGACGGGCACTTGAGTTGTTTCCACATCCTTGTATTAGTGAATTGTGCTGCCATTCATTATCCAAAGTGAGGTGACACAAGATGGGAAGAAGGGGCTCCACATGTACTCGCCATCAAATTGGTACTGAATGATTAACACTATGGTGGTGGTGTTCACCAGGGATTCAGGGGTTGCAAGAATAGACCCACATCTGAGGGATGTGGTGAATATTGTGGAGGGGAGGGGCATACCTCTAACCCTTGCTAGGGAGAGGCAAAGATATAAAAGGCAACCAAAATGTTTGTAGTCTCATATTTTCTTGAGATAAAAATAAAAAAGAAGAAGAATCCCAGCTCTAAACCGTAAAAACGCATAAGGACGGCATAGAAAATCTACTGTGCTGAATGATTAAAGAGATGCCTTTTTGCTACCCATGACAAGTTCCTTCTTAATTAGTCTGTCACATGTATAAATTTTTATCATAACAGATTAATTCCTTTCAGCTCCAACCACATAGGATTCTTCATTGAACCACAAAACAGACAACCACTGCACTGCCTATTTTTGCAATTTTCCCATGGATCTTACATGCCTAGAAATTAATTCATTATATATACTGGATGCCTTAGGGCGTTAGCGCTTAATTCTCTTGCTAAAACTTTGGCTGAGAATAGACTTGTCTTTGTAAATGAAAACATACCTTGTAAAACCTCAAAATTTTAAAAAGGTTTAACAGTGAGATTCATCTTACCTGGCTTGCTGTTGGTCGTTTCTTTGGATCCCAATTCAACATTTCAGTCATAAGCTGAATAGCTTCATTACTGGCATTTGGAATAAGAGTTTTTAAGTTTATAGGAACACACTGGGGAAAGCGGAAATTCATAGAGGATGCAAGCTGGTATCCTTCTGGCCAGTCACTCTGTTTCAGGAACATACAAAGTGTGGGTAGGAGAGAGCAGAAAGAAAAACTGTTTTTAGAAATCCATTTAAAAACAGAATAGTAATATGAAAATCATTCATGTGTGAACATTTTAATGTTGATTCATATAAATAACAGACCACATATACAATTCATTCAATGCTACAAACGGCATAGAAAGAACATTGAATGACAGGAAAAAATTAGAAAGTACTTTAATAAATTTCAAAATATTAAACTCCTGTCTGGTTTTGATGATGATGATACCTGGAGGACTTTGAACAAATAAGGGTAAATGCTTTACAAAAAGCATTACTGATTACTACAAAGATCCTAATTATGTATTATATATAGCCATCCAGTGTTAAAAATTGTACGGAGCTGGGAAGTGACAATCATGTCAAAGGTTTAATATCTACATTCTCTTGTCTAATGTTAACAAGACACATACTAATTTAATTAGGATATACACACTTACACTTATTAAGCATATCTCAGAAAGTAAGGTCTAGCTGAAATATAATAGTTAATCAAAAAGTACTCAGTTCAAGAAGTCGAATACCCACGGCAGAGTTATATAAAAGGAAACAAGAAAGGGTTAAGGTCCAAGGCACCAAGGGTTAAAGAGCTGATGCCAACAGACAATCACAGAGCAGGTAGGAACAAGCCTAAGCAGGTTGTCTATGTAGCTGTCAGCTGGTCATCAACCCAAAGTTACACTCTCTATATACAGAATTTCGTTAAGTTCTTTTAAAAAGCACCTTTTTTCTTCAGTCTGGTGGGATTCTGGCTTCTTGCAATCCTTATCCCGCCCCGATAAAAAGAAATATAAAGATGATAAGAAAATTAACCATTAAAGTATGTGCCTATTTAAAAGTAAAATATCAGATATTTTTAGGCAAAAGTTACAATCAAAAGTTATACAATTAATCCTAGCACTCTGGGAGGCCAACGCAGGAGAATCCCTTGAAGTCTGGAGTTTGAGACCAGCCTGAGCAAGAGTGAGACCCTGTCTCTACTAAAAATAGAAAAAAAAAAAAAATTAGCCAGTCAGCTAAAAATAGAAACAAAAAAATTAGCTGAGCATGGCAGCTCATGCCTGTAGTCCCAGCTACTCAGGAGGCTGAAGCAGGAGGCTCACTTGTGCCCAGGAGTTTGAGGTTGCTGTGAGCTAGGCTGACGCCACGGCACTCACTCACTTTGTTGCCCAGGCAACAAAGCGAGACTCTGTCTCAAAAAAAAAAACCAAAAAAACAATAATAACAACAAAAAAACCCACAACCAATTATACAATTAAAAGCCAAGTAGCAAGTTATAAATTATCAAAAGTTATAATTTAGGGACAAGAGTACTTACTTTTTTAGGAGTCCCTAAAACTTGGCAAATCTTAAAGATTTCATCAACCTCACTTGTTCCTGGGAAAAGTGGCCTTAATGTATATAATTCAGCCATTATACTTCCAACAGCCCACATGTCAATGGGAGAGCTATAAACTGAAGATCTTAATAAAACTTCAGGAGCACGATACCTATGAAAATAGGAAACAAAACAAGTAAACTGAAGGTCTTAATAAAACTTCAGGAGCACGAAACCTATGAAAATAGAAAACAAAACAAAAATGGCTATTTTGATTGTAATTTGAAACATTGATGGGCAGTGGCATTCTGCTCTGTTTGGTTATGCGTTTCAATCAAGGAACGGGGATTAAATGCCTTCTGTGTTTCAGGCATTTGTACAACATGCTGGGGACAACTGGACATAACACATGTTCCCTGACCACAAATGGGTAGGGCTGGAGACAAATGTAAGTGAAATGTCCATGTAGCCTAAGAAAGGAATTCAAATGAATAAATATGGAATTAAGTGCTGCCCCATGTATTAAGAAAAAAGGGAGAAAAGCCATGTAACAAAGCATTATTAGATCCAGTATATATTCACATGGAAGACAGAAAACAAAAGATTAACAAAGATCATCCCTGAGTGGTGGATTTCTTTTCTTCTATGTATCATTTTGAAAGTACTGGTGCCCTCAATTGACTCCTCTCTGTAGACAAAAATATTGATAATTGAGACAAATATTTATAAGAGCAAAGGTGCCTGGTAAGTCCAACACGAAGTCTGGTAAATGGAAGATAGTCTCAATTCTAATTCCTTTTTTCATATTGAAATGTATGAATATTTCAGTCCAAATGTTTTATAATACTTTCTTTTTGCTTTCATTCAGAGTACAGTAGGTCCTCAAATAACATCCCTATGTTCAACGTTTTCTGATAACGTTGATGAGAAAAAAAAACTGCTTCCCAGCCGTGGCCCTGTCTATGCGGAGTTTGCACATTGCCTTCTCCACGTCCTCCAGTTTCAACCCACATGCCAAAGCTGTGCACGTCAGGTGAACTGGTGTGTCTGTGTGGTCTGAGCACGGGTGTGTGCGTCAGTGCACCCTGTGATGGGACAGTGTCCAACCTGCCCTGGCCCTAAGCTACTGGGACAGGCTCGGGCCACCCACAACCCTGAATTGGAAAAAACAGGTAAATAAGTATTTTCCTTGTTTTTGTTAATCTTTCTGAAATGTATGTATAGCTCACATTTATTTCAATGTTTAGTATTAGAAGTGTTTTGATCTTTATTTAGAAGTTCAGTGACATTTTTGTGACCAGAAATATGCCATAGGAACTTCACTCTTGTTTATATCAGTTAGCTCATGGGAAAATTGGTTTTGTTATACATTGTTTCACTTAAAGGTGCAGTTCGAGAACCTATCGACAAAGTTAAGGGATGACTTACTGTACTTAGACAAATATTTTTAACAGCTTTATTGAGATATAATTTATATAATGTACAATTCATCCATTTAAAATATACAATTCAATGGCTTTTAGTATATTCACAGAGCTGTGCATCCATCACCACAATCAATTTTAGAACATTTTCATTAACCCCAAAAGAAACCCCATGCCTCTTATTCATCTATCTTCCTATGTCCCCAGCCTTAGGCAACCACTAACCCACTTCTCTCTATATAGATTTGCCTACTCTGGACATTTCGTATCAGTGGAATCGTAGGCTATCTGGTCCTTTGTGACTAGCTCATTTCACTTAGGTAATGTTTGCAAGGTTCGTCCATGTTGGAGCGTAAATCAGTATTTCATCTTTTTATTGTTGAATAATATTCCATCATATGTATATGGAATATTTATCCATTCATTGGAGATGAATATTTGGGTTGTTTCTACTTTTTGGCTATGTTGGCGACTCATAATATTTTTAATTTGTTTGTGATGTGAGCAGCATGAGGCAAAGATTTTTCTCTTATTTGTTCACTGCTATGTTCCCTGTGCCTAAAATAATATTTGGCACATAGTAGGTATTCAATAAATACTTGTTGAATGAATAATGAAATTCTTTTCCTTTTTTTTTCATTGATCAGAATAGTAATGAACCAATCCTCTCCCTTTAAAGACTACAAAATTGAGTTCTATATGGAGCCTCTAGAAAGATATGTGATAATCCATTATAGGAAAACTTCAATATAGACTTAGGCCTCAGGAGAGCTGCATAAAACTACTCACCATCTGGTAGAGACATAATCAGTATATGGTGGCTGTGACCTTAATTCTCTTGCAAGTCCAAAATCAGCAATTTTCACAAGTTCTGGACCCATACAAAGCAAGTTTTCTGGTTTCATGTCCCTATGAAAAAAGCCTTGGTAACACAGAGAGACAAAAAAAATAAATCATGTTTAAACATACCTTTATTTGATTTATAAACAATATAATTTAGCTTATAATTAGAGACATGATCTTAAAAAAGAAACCACTTATTGCATAAAGTGATGGGATATAGGACCATGCTTTCAAAATGACTTGGCAAGGAAGTTGACACGGTATGTAGATCATTACAAATAACTACCCATTTAATGTATGTTTTTAATTTTTAAAATTTCTTTTAGATTTTTTTGAGTCAGAGTCTCACTCTGGCACTCCTGGTAGAGTGCAGCGGTGTCGTCATAGCTCACAACAACCTCAAACTCCTGAGCTCAAGCAATCCTCCCACCTCGGCCTCCAGAGGGCTAGGATTACAGGTGTGAGCCAGCGTGCCTGGCCTCACATGTATTTTTACTTGTGACTCCAGTAAGTTCAGGCATTGTTATAAATACACCTACATTATGATTTATCTCCATTAATTTGCACAACTACCTTAAGGAGGTATTGTTATCACTACTGTGTAAGAGATGAGTAGGTTGAAGCCCAGAGAGAAGTAGCCTAAAAATGCATGAAGAGAACTTCCTAATTAGCCTTAAGTCAGTGTAGCTGATTCCTTGAGTATACGCCACTTGTTTAAAAAGTCTATTAGACAAAAATGGAACTCCACACGTTATAACCAATTTCTTCACTTAAAATTATTTTATCTCAAGTTCAATTCTCGATAGCTGTGTCACTGAAAACTCAAATAATTGTAATGCTTATATTACTAATTCAATATACAAAAATAAATGGTTAGTTACCAAAAGCTACTGAGCATCCCAAAGAAAATGAGACAGAAAACCTAGGGGAAAAAAATTAAAGCCCTTCTTGCAAATCAGATTTGTTTTTAAGGGAGTCTTTTTCTAAGGGTGCTCTAAAGCATACTATTTGTACACAGATGGTATTCTAATGGCCTTATGAGGCAGGAAGATGGTAGGTGGTCATTAGAAGAGGGTTTTCATGTAGCTCTGGGGCTAGGAAAATTTTCTAAGCCTAAACGTTTTCAATCACTTCAAAGCCAGCATGGGCTCTACGTTTTTGACATGTGTAACAAGTTTGGTATTCCAAGTTTATGTGGGATTCCTACTCAAAACAGCTGGTAAAATACATTTCACTAATGTCCAAGAGAAATTAATTGCACTTTCATAATGCAAAAACAGGAACAGAAACATGATGGTAGAGCAAAGTGACATTAGTCCATAAAGTCTTTGAGAAGTAAGCCAGTTACATATCTGTCCAGTTGAGGTTCTCTCATCCTAATATATTACTAATCTAGTTCTATTTTAACTAAATATTAGTCTCATTTTTTGACAGCAACTATTTAAAAATATCTATTTTATTGAAGTATTAAATCTGAGATGTTTAACTATAGCAAGAATAATTTGGCTTTTGTAAAAATGTCTAATTGTTCTTAAAGCCTGGTTTCCCAAATCACTATGCAGTCAACTATATAGTCAACTCTAGACTATTCATATGTTATTTACTTTCAGCCACAATTTTTAAATTCTAAATGAACTTCCTCCTTTAACCCCTTATGCTTTGTAAGTTGCTCATAGTATAAATCAACCCACACAAATATCAAGATTTATCATGCTGATCAGAGTTTAAAACAAATTAAAGATCAGGAACCATATAATTAAAAAAACATACATTTTTATTTCCATGTAAGTAATAAGTTACTGATATTTACCAGTAGATTATTGTATATTATCATGTGATTTAGACTTTTTAAAGACCCCAATAGTTTATATGGAAAAAATAAAAAATTAAGGATTGAGAAATGTTCTTAAAATACTTATATGGAATCTTGAATAGCATTTCTAGACGATAAATTATTTTCTGTAGCAGTTAAAGGAGAAAGGACAAAAGAAAATATAAAATATATGATGAGACATGAAAGGAGACCAATAGCAATGGTTGAGAGCCTATGCTCAGAATGCAGCAATGGTATGGCACAAAAGTCTCCAGTTTAATATCTACACATCTAGTGATTCTAAACAAATGTTCATTAAAAATAATCACTTTTACTTTTTAGACTAATAATTACTTTGGTTTGATAGATATGTAAAAACTACATAAATTAAAATATATAAACAAGAAATTCATAGAAAATAGAACAAGTACTATCCAGATATGCTGTAGGTTCAAAATAAGAAAAAAAAAAAAAAAAAAGAACAAGTACTACTTGCTTGAATTCTACTCAGGGAATAGACACAACTAAATGTAAATATTAAGGAAAACTATAAAACACTCTACGAGGGTGCTTTAAACTATTTAAATGTTAATAATTGGTCATGCTAGATCAAAGCAGTCTAATCTTTTCCAAAACAAGAACTTTTTTTTTTCATTTTCATAATAAATTAGGGGAATGAGGTTGCAGGTTGGGTTTATGATGACTAAGGTCTGATGATCAAACTGTTAAAAAATTCAAGTTTTTAATAGTTACAGATTATTATAGGAAGAGAGTTCTATAACTCTCTAATCTATATTATAGAAATTCCACTTTATCTCATATAGGACTAAAGAAATTCTAAATTCTTTTAAATAAAAAAGTCCATATGTATAGGCATATACCCCAAACTTGTAGTTATCCAATAGAATATTATTTAACAGTTCATATATAATTTCTGTGTACAATCTTGATAGTAACCTAAACAGGCAGAGAAATGAGACTTAAAAAGAACCTACCATGTTTATGGATAAAAGCCAGGCCTTGCAATATTTGATACATAATATTTCTGATGACTGACTCAGGGAAAAACTTGTTTCTGTAAAGAAATTAACACAGAGTAAATAATAAATAATAAATTAGGGGAATGAGGTTGCAGGTTGGGTTTATGATGACTAAGGTCTGATGATCAAACTGTTAAAAAATTCAAGTTTTTAATAGTTACAGATTATTATAGGAAGAGAGTTCTATAACTCTCTAATCTATATTATAGAAATTCCACTTTATCTCATACAGGACTAAAGAAATTCTAAATTCTTTTAAATAAAAAAGTCCATATGTAATACTGTTAAGCAACCAACCAATCAATCCAAAGATTTATATTCCTCCTGTCTTGGAGCCTCTGCTGGCCTCATGATACTGGCTAAGGTATGATATATAGATTTACAGTGTTAAAAGTAAAACATTTAAAACGTGAAAATTAAGGGTTTTTCGTTTTGATGTTTGGCAAAAACTCAAATCCAAAACTAAATATATTACGCACAGCTAAACTCTAAATTGTACGAAGATGAGCAAAGTAAATAGGAAAAAACGGAATCACTATCAGATAGACCAAGCATGCAAAGCTGTATCCTGTAGGCTTTAAGAGTTTTCACCGCACAAATGCTTCAGTTGTAGTCCGCATATTGGAACTATACGATAGAAATATAAGAGCCACAAAAGAGCCACTTATGTCTGCGATCCCCAACACGCCGGCCACAGAGCTCTACTGCCCCCAACCCCACCCCCACTGTCCCTGGAAAAATTGTCTTCCATGAAAATCAGGAAAGTGGCCCAGTGGGAGGAGGGGGTAGAGTTTTGTAGCACAGCATGAGGCAAGTGGCTGGCGCTGTGGCTAGCTGAGGAAGCTTCATCTGTATTTGTAGTGGTGATACCACCGCCTGACCTTGGGCCCCACCCTCAACACTGGGCCAAAAAAAGGTTGGGGATCACTGACTTAACGTCCTTAACATTTTTCTAGTAGCCGCATTAAAAAAAAAAAAAAGGAAACAGGTGAAATTAATTTTTTTTTTTTTGAGACAGAGTCTCACTCTCTTGTCTGTCACTCCCTTGCCCAGGCTAGAGTGCTGTGGTGTCAGCCTAGCTCACAGCAACCTCAAACTCCTGGGCTCAAGCAATCCTGCTGCCTCAGCCTCCTGGATGGCTAGGACTACAGGCACGCGCCACCAAGCCCGGCTAATTTTTTTCTAGTTTTAGTTGTTTGACTAATTTCTTTTATTTTTTTTTCTATAATAGAGATTAGGGTCTTGCTCTTGCTCAGGCTGGTCTCAAACTCCTGAGCTCAAGCGATCCTCCCGTTTCGGCCACCCAGAGTGCTAGGATTACAGGCGTGAGCCACTGCGCTGGGCCTGAAATGAATTTTAACAATATATTTAACCCAATATATACCAAATACTATTTCAACAGGTAATCAATATAAGATTAACAAATTTAATTTTTATACCAAGTCTTCAAAATCTGGTGTGTAATTTATATTACATTTACAACACAGCTCAGTTCAGACATTTTAAGAGCTCAATAGCCACATCTGATTACTGGCTGCTGTATAGAACAGTGCAGCTTTTTATGGTATTTACAGAGTCTAAAGTAAGATCCTAATAAGGGCTTAATTAGGGCTGAAATATTAATCTCTGCCAGGCTACCAATTAAAGTGATCAGCAACTAATTCTTTGATCCTGAGGCCATACTGTGTTATAGAAGTTATCATTTTAAGCTTTTAAACTTTACCATAATTTTAACATTTTCTAACACCTTTGTTTCAGCACAATTGATTGGATTAATTAAGAGGATCATTTAAAAATGCTTGCAACATGTAGAAAATGGCCTATTTTTCTATATTATATTTTTAACTATATTATATGCCTATATTATATCGTAAAATGTCCCACCATTTAAAACAGTAAGACACCAAATGGCATAGAAACACACAATAGACAGAGAAAGATAAACACTGGTCTTAACTCAAATTAGAAAATAGCATTCATTGATCATATGTTACTGAAGTATTTTTAAAACTCACTTTCATAAGTTATAAAATAAATTTTAAAGTAAATAAAATGTTTTTATTCTTACCAAGAAATTATAAAAAGAATGCTATATGCTGAAGATACAGTTACAGCATCAGTGCAAAAGATTGTGTATATTGGTCTTCAATTGAAATGGAAAAGTGGCTTACTTGAATAAAATTCAAAAAGGGCTTTTAGATTAATTTTTAATCTTTAAAATAATGTTTCAGGAAGTTAAACTACTCAAAACAAAATGTGAAAATCCAGCTTAACCTCAAATAGCCTTCATCATGTATGGTTGTTAATAGTCAAATTTATTCTTAGATATTACATAAAATTCTAACAATATACTTGTTTTCCATTTAATTTAGAAATCTAGAATTGAATCATATAATTCAAAACCTGATTCTCTGTAGTGTTTACTTGATATTTCTTTAACTACTTCAATTGTCAGATTTATATATTTTAAAAATCAGATGAAAATATATTTCATGTATTTATATGTATTTAATTTTTTTCATCCACAAATATATCTTGATATTTCATGTATATATTTTTCATCTCATATATTTTAAAGTAAAAAATTTATTAGAACTTGAAAAGGTAAGATTACCCATAATCCCACCACCTGATTAGGAAACTTTTGATTTTTCAATATTATAATCCAGTCCTAATCATTTACATGTATAACTTTTATATTATATGTCAATGTTACATAAATATAACATTGATTTGTTTTTCCATTTATAAGCATTTTCATGGCCGGGCACGGTAGCTCACGCCTGTAATCCTAGCACTCTGGGAGGCCAAGGTGGGCGGATTGCTCGAGGTCAGGAGTTTGAAACCAGCCTGAGCAAGAGCAGGACCCCATCTCTAATATAAATAGAAAGAAATTAATTGCCCAACTAATATATATATAAAAAATCAGCCAGGCATGGTGGCACATGCCTGTAGTCCCAGCTACTCGGGAGGCTGAGGCAGTAGGATTGCTTGAGCCCAGGAGTTTGAGGTTGCTGTGAGTGAGCTAGGCTGACGCCATGGCACTCACTCTAGCCTCGGCAACAAAGTGAGACTCTGTCTCAAAAAAAAAAAAAAAAAAACACAAACAAGCATTTTCATAATCTTTATAATTATCACCTTCAATGGCTACATAATAATTCCATCAATATTATATACAATTACCAACCTAGTCTCCCATTGACAGTGATTTATTTTAAATAGTTCAAGTAGAAAAGTGAAGCTTAGTATAATTATTTAACAGAATATAATGTTTATGGTAACTATAAAAACTATGTATCAGCATAAAAAAGTACTTTTAAGTGGATGAATCAAATAAAAAGTTTCATTATGATTAAAATTACAACTAAGTAAAAAGCATGCATGCCTATATACAAGGGCTAGAAAAGGCTCTAGAATAATAAAAACTAATTTGGGGGTAGAAATTTACTTTTATTTTAACTGATATTAACATTATAATGAAGTCAGCCTGAAACACAACAGGCATTCAATACGTATGTTTTGAAAGAAGGAAAAATACGATTAAAGAAAAATTCACTTACCATCCTTAGACCGTGTGTGTGTGTGTGTGTGTGTGTGTGTGTGTGTGTGTGTGTGTATGAAAGAAACAGAAACCATCACATTGAAAAATTACTTTATTTCTAAGTATTTTAGGGTGTTTTGCTGAACACCTCTCACTGTAAAGGCAGGCAAAATGGACTTTAATCTCCTAGAAGTGACCAGAACAACCATCACCAGAACATTATCTTCCTGAGCCCATGGCAGAAGACTGAAGCTCTCTCTTTAGAGATCCTGCCCACATGTTTAACACATTGACTACCACACTAGAAAAAGAAATTTTTCCTAGGGGCTATGGTGTTTTATTAAGAAAATAAAATAAAAACTTAGAAAACAAAATGATCCTAATTTAATGAAAAATTTATATTTTATTGTTTTGTGTTTTTTTCCAATTAAAAACGTAACATAAAAACTTGAAAATTAGTAATGTAGAAAGTAATGTGAAAAAGTTCATAAGGGTAAAGTGTTTTTCTTGACTTGTCAGGCTTAATTGTAATTTAAAGGTAAACATAAATAGAAAAATGAAATTTACTGATTTCTATTCATTTAATCCACATTTTTAGAATTAAATTTTCAATATTAGTTGTAACAATAAGAACATCAACAAGTAAGATGTTCTCAAACCAAACTGCAGGATTTTGGCCAGGTTTTGCTTCAGGAGGCCCCGGACTCAGAACTCACATGAGTTAAATAGAACTCACATGGCAGTTAATGTATTAAAATTAAAATGAGAATATCCTTGGAATTGGTAACACATGAAGTTTTATCACTCACTAATGCATCCTAATTAATAAGTTTCTTAGATCCTTTCTTAAAAGCTACTTCATTCCTTTCTCCATTCATTCTTTCGTTAACCTTTCACAAGATGCTTAGGAGAACAACAGAGATAACTTTCTCAATAGCGCCCAGGGCCAGCTTTATTACTGAATACTATAGATATTTTTTTTTAAAAGTATAAGTAGACAGTATGTGTGTTTACATGAAATACTGACCTTGACTTTTAAGGATTTACAACAGAAAAATGGTGGCTATGTCACAGCGGATTCTTCAATGTTAAATGCTACTCTTTGATAGAAATAACAGAACTAATTAATTTAAATCTACCTCTTGGAGTGATAAACCTATATATTACAAAGTATGGCATATTGAAAGAATCAAAAAAACTCATGGAAGAAATAATAGGGAAAAAATTACAATTTTCATAGAATAAAGACATACCTATCTTTCATTAATTGATAGAGGTTTTCTTTCATATATTCAAATATAAAATAAAGATGGTCATTTTCTCTGACAACTTCTTTCAGTTTAATCACATTGGCATGGTTAAGTTTTTTCAGAGACTGCAAAACAACAAATAATCATTAATATTTCTTAAAGAAAAGTTAATAGAAGTTGACAAAATCTCATCAATGATAAGTATGATAATTACCTTAAGTAACTTTCCATTTCTTCTGGATTCATTAATGAATTACATTTTAATATCTACATAATTTTAAAACCTCTTAGAACATCTATGTAAAGCAAGCAATAACTGCTTTAACAAATGAATGCTAAGTGCAACAATAAACCAAGTCAACAATAGCTACCAAACATTTCAATCTGTCACATTTTCCTCTCAGTCTGTTAAATAGACCTAACTTTTATCTGACTTTACCATGTGACATGCCATGCAGAAGTCTCCAGAAGTTTATCCAAGTCTTTAAGCATAAAATATAAGTAAATGGTATGTGGTAATTTAAAAAGTTGACTTTCCTTTGATAATATGAATTAAAATGCTCTTTATTTTATTTTTTATCTCTAGATTATTTGTAATAAAGTGATCTTTTAAAAGTAAAAATGATCTTTGAAATATGAGAGTATAATTGTATCCTGTTCTCCACTGACACCAGAACAAGAAGAAATGAGAAATTACTTTACTTTAGGAAGAAAAAGGAAAACATAAACACAAGTATCTTTGGAATGCTTCCCACAGAGAACAGAATAATCTCAGCTACTGTCCTGATCATGAGTAGAGTTAAGGCCTTCTTGGGTTCTTTTCATCTTTAGGATTTTACCTTAACTTCTCTTAAGTTCATACATTCATCCCAAGAATAGAACTTTCTCTTCATCCTAAAATAAATTTAAAAAGTTTAGTGTACAAGGACTGAGGATTCGAAGACACAAATTACACTGTTGGCTTTTACTGTATCACTGGTTCCCTCTGGGGAAGCTTTATTGCTCGTCCCTCATCCTGGTAAGGAAATCCCCTCCCTTCCATCTCAAGGCTACTTGGTAAAAGCTCATGTCTATATCATATCTGAAATTCTGCTTTAACAAAAAGGTGAAAAAATTACCATTAATCTTCCTTCCTGGATGAGTTCTTAACATTTCTCTAATCAGTTTAATTGTGCTTTTCTAAAGGGGCCCCTTACAAATTTCCTCTCTTTCCAGAACTTGACAGAGAAATTTGAAACACTATACTTCAGAGATGGGTAGGAAAAGAAATCAGAAATTCTAGTAGCAAATTTAGTCAGTGACTTTATCTGACAACTTTCATATCACTACCTCAGTTTTAGACAAGAGGCCCATAAAGTTAAGTGATTTAAAGTCAGTAAAAATTCAGAAGTAACCAAACTTTAGAAATTGCTTTCTGTGAATTTTGTTCTTTATTTCTCCTCTTCCATCCCAATGCTGGTTACCATTAGAGATAAATATACCAAAAGAGTATTTAGGGAAATGAAGTATTTGTACTATATACACTATAAATAGTGGTTGTGTTTTATATGAACAGATTTTTAGTTACCATACAAAATAGGAGATAAGAAAAATTAAGATTTGTATTCTAAAAAAATATTCTCATATTCAGATATGGGAATTACAAGGCTGGATTGTAAAAAATAAAAACTAAATATGTCCCACTGCTTTCATTTAGCATTATAATCTCCTAGAAGATACTCAGATGTTCTAGAAGATACTCAGGAAGCTTAGAATTGCCTTTATTAATTAGAATAATTCTTATAATCCATAAATTATAATTATACCCTGTATGAGGGTATAGTACACAGGTAGGGAAATGAGTAGACTTGGCAGCACAATGTCGTGGTCAAGAATGTGGGCTGTAAAACTGCACTGCCCAGATCCAGAGCCTTGCTCAGCTGCTCACCCAGTGTATGACCTTGGACAAGTTAACCCAGTGACCTCTTAGTGCCTCAAATTCCTTAGCTAGCCATGAAGTAGAGATTATTGCATGAGAAAACTTGTTGCAAATTGCTCAGGTTGGCACTCAATAACTACTAGATGGTTTCATTTTTACCAATAGCTATGATTGACTACAATAAGACATGAAGGGCATTACTGCTATTATTTCTAAAATATCCTTAGTGAATCAGAATTTCATTTATAGTCATTCAGGTACCAGAAATTTATGAAGAAGCTTGATGAAATCAAGGGTTTACTGGTTTATTAAAAGAAACCTTTCCATGCTATAGATTTATAAAATGTCTTGCTAAAGCGCAAAAGGTAAATGTAGCACAATGATGAATTTAAAACAGAAGTCAACTTAAGTACAGCTATAAAAGTAGCTTAATAAAATGATTATATCCATCCAAAGCTGCATGTATAATGTTATGACTTCTAAAAAGTAATGTCAGAATTTAGAAAGTATCCAATCTTTTAGAAGCCAGATAAAAGTATATTCGTTACTTTTCATAATTCATTAATAATTGAAACTTTTGACCTACTTGTAAAGTCTGTTCTCTTCATTCATATTTCCTAATATGCGGCTTTTTTCCCAGCAATTACCACTTCTCAGCAATACTTCCCTAAGGTGACCCATGTATCTATCTACAATGAATATGTTTCCTTGCAAAATAATTATCCAAAAGACAAACCAATTTCTTAGAATAGCTAAGAAAAGGTATTTCCTTTTAGGTTCCTTGCCTTCTTCTTTCATTTATTAATTCATACAACATATACTTCATGCCAGGGTAATGAACAAGTTAAAGATGGCTTCCCATCTAACAGAGGAAATGATTTTAGACTAGTTAATATATAACAGACATACAGATTAGTTATAAGGACCATGAGATAAAACAAAGGGGTCTTTTAAGATTTAATAGCCAGGCCCTTTTGATAAGACAACAGTTCAACTGAGACCTAAAAGACAGAGAAGGTCCCAGCATGTAAAGACAGAAAAAGATGTTCTGGGCAGAGATAGCTGCTGGTTAGAGGTTTTGGGCTGATTCTTATTTCTTTAATGCCCTGTGCTAATTTTCATTGCTATTGCCAGCTACTCACTGTAAGAAAATGGTAGTGCTATTACTAGGTCACCTTTCCTGCTGCTTTTTCTCCATAGCATTTATCATCTTCTAACATACTATATAATATGCTTATTTCCCTCGTTTCCAAACGTAAGCTCCTTAGGGACACTCCCTTATGCCTAGATTGATTGTGTCACAACGTAGATGCTCAATAAATACTTGCTAAATGACTAAATGAATTTCTAAACCCACGGGTGCCCCCTACACAGGCGACCCTCAGAAATGGAATTGTCTCTCAAGTCCTTAAAGGGCAGAGGGCTTAATAAATATTTGTTCACTGAACGAGGTGAGGGGATCTTACTACCTTGCTCTAGCACAGGGGTCCTCAAACTTTTTAAACAGGGGGCCAGTTCACTGCCCCTCAGACCGTTGGAGAGTGTGCACTGTGGGCCCAGGACGAGTCAGCTGCTAAGCAGGACAGGCAGCAGCGGCAAAAACACCCGGAGGGCCGGATAAATGTGCTAGGCGGTCCACATGTGGCCAGCGGGTGTAGTTTGAGGACGCCTGCTCTAGCATGAATTGTAGGATATAGCTTTTTTGAAAAATGGTAGCAGATAAGACAAGGTTTCTTACCAGTGACCTCAATTCAAACTCCCCAAAGGAAATTTTCAATAGGGGCCTTTTATTTTCTTCTTTATAGTATTCTCCCAACTTCTAACCACTCACCGTCTAACACAGTTCTGACTGCAATGCTAGACTGCTCAGAAGCTTTGCCTACTAAATAAGCACAGACTTTCTTCCCCATGTTCACACTGGCAAATACACCACCCTCTCTGTCCTCTACCAGCTGCCGTACCGCACCCTCGCTCCTCCAGGCCAACTCCACGATGGGCTCGTGCTCAGCCTCTGCTCTCTCCTCAACACCATTCTTCACTGAGCACATCTAATTCTAACAGACACCACACCCGCAACGCCCAACTCCTGGTTCTTCTGTTTAAAAGATTTTTAGACTGAAAACACCTTCTTCCAAATAATCAATTTTCCTTCAAGGAGACATGCTTACTGCCCACTTTGAAGATTAAGGATAGGCAGCTCTTCTTTATCTGCTACACAAAATGTACTCAATATGGAATTTATTTTTAATTTTGGGGAAAAGGCATTGATAGATTTAAAGTGTTATCCAAAGTATTATACTTTGAATATTTATGGCCTAAATTGGAAATGCCTAAAATTTTATATCACCAAGCATAAGATGATTGGATATTATGAGATGTGAGTTGTTTTGGTAACCAACAGGAATAAGAATGGAGAATAAGGGGTCTAATATCTGTAACTTTCAGGTAAAGTTTATTCCACTGCACCAGGCCTAAGAGAAATGGCAAAGCCTTCCTGTGTGACTCTTGTAGGCAACATAAGACCAAAAACTCTCCTAAGATTCCATCTTGTCTAGAACCCTAAGGAGTGCTGGCTACAGTGATATTTACATTGATAATCCTGCCAGTAGCCAGGCTTCACAGGTCCTTAACTCCTCTGTCCTGCCACAGTCACTCACAGACACCTTATTATCGTGAGGAATGGTTCTGCTCTCCAAGACCTCAACCATTACAGCTTCCGACTCTGACCATAACTCCTGTCCTTCCACCATCTTCACCCTGGAAACTGCTTTACACGCCCTCTCATTCAACTCTCGGCTACTCCTACGATCCCTGGCATGGCTTGCCTTGGCTTACCTCTTCAGCCAGCCTGGGCCCCATGGCCAGCCCTTCACCACTCCCCCCTCAAGATCACACACCTATTCTGAATGTCCCCCTCTCCCAATGTCCCACCTCCTGCCTTGCATTCCTCCAGTCTGCTTTCCATACAGATCGGTAAAGATGGGAAGAAAAGTCACATGAATATTCACAGTAGCTCCACTTTCCATGTAATCAAAGGTAATTGAAGGTGGACTTTTACTGGTACTTAGCACTCCTTTTGTGACTTTCTTGGTAACTTAGTACCCATTCTTCACAACTCTTCCAAGCTCAATGTCTCCACCACTGCAATTCCCACTGCTCCTGCCCTACCTCCATCTGGCTTACTAATTCTACTGTTACACTGGAACAACACTCACCACAGCCACCAGTTATGTCAGGTTCCCCAAATCCAAGGAACACCATGGCAGATGATATCATTTGGATACCAGATGGCCATTTCCAGCCCCTTTCCTTTTTCCTCCTGGTACAGAGGCTGGAAGAGTGAAATACTCACAGTCTTGGCCTCCTTGGGAAGTAAGGAAGACCATGTGGCCAGTGCTGGCCAACAAGATGTGAGAGGGAGGTCCTTAGTGGCTCCTGGGAAAGAAAGATCACTACCTGATAAAAGATGAGAGAAGAGTTTCCTGGTATTACTCTGTCTTCCTCCCACCTTGAACGTGGATATAATGCCTAAAGGTGAAATAGCCATAATGTGGCCATTAGGTGACACAGTTGAGGACAAAAAATGCTGACTATTCAGTATGAAGATAGGAAAGGTCTAGATTCCTTGGGTGCACTGTTGAACCACTGAAAGCTCTGGAATCATCAAATTCCAGATTTCCTGATACGTCAGAAAAATAAACTCCTACTTGCTGAAGACATCGATTCTGTTACTTGCTATTATATATTTGTTACTTGCAGCAAGATGCATTCCTAAGTAATCCAGAGCTTTTAGTCATTAATTATTACTCATCATCCAGTTGAGAACTTTCCCTTTAGATCTTTTCCTCAAGTTTGGATATTTTCCACATTCTCCTGATTTCTCTGGTGGCTACTTCTCAGTCTTCTTTGTAAGACCCTGTGCCAGGGCCCATCCTTTACATGCTGGGGTTTCTCAGCGCTTTATATAGGGACTTCTTCTCCCTCTATGTAGTCTCAATTACCA